TGTATCATAATTCATATTCTCCAATGGGACACCTCCATAGCCCAGAGCCATCAATCATGTTTTCTCCCGTTGGAATTTTGCACGGCAGAAACTTCAGTCACTTAGTTACTATCTTTGAAAAGCTATGTATGGAATGCACTTTCGGTTTCCAAGTTGCCGCACTGCTCTTTCAAACCCCTTTCCTCCCCCTCCCTTTCTGTTGGCAACTCTAGAAAGACCATAGAAATATTTTATGAGTTGACAATTATTTTTTTTAGCGGCGGTCGTTAAGCGAACCCATGGTAGGTTATGTTCTTTTTACTGACAAGGCTGTTAAGTGTTTTTCATGAGACCGTCGTAAAATGGGACAATGCAGGCATATTGCTGGGTGTCCCAAGTTCGGTCACATGACCAGAGGGAGAGTTCGTAACTTCGAATCTGGGTTGTTGGTTGGTTTGTAACACCAAATGGTCTCGCTTAGCGACCGGTCATTAAGTCGAGGACTACCTCTAACAGTGCCAGTAGTTTACACAACCCGGTATAACTGCTCAGCCAGTGTGCTAAAGCTGTACTTTGCTTGCTACACAACTGGCCTCGTAAAACTTGCTACATATCGAGCCACCTCAAAGCAGTCCTCGACGTACGTCTATTCGCTTAATGTCCATTGGAAGATACAACAGCACTGGGGGAAAAAGGGGGGAGAAATTTCCTCTGGTCCTCACACTTATGACAATGTCACGAGATCACCATTTGCCATTCTGGCTGGCAAAATCAAGAGCCGGAAGCTTTTTTTAAAAAAAGCCACATTGTAACTTGGAACGGTCACTTAATGAGCAGTCGTAAGTCGAGGACTGCCTGTATAAAAGCTAATCCTTACTAAAGAATTACTAATCCATACTGTGGACAGTCGTAACTACCTTAAGAATAGCGAAAACGGAGAGGAAGGACACGAAAGAGTTTGCAGGAAGTGGAGTCCACCTATTGGCACCCAAACTCCAGATGTGACTCGCTCCACAGCAGGGGTGTCAAACTCAAGCCCCCCACCCACCCACCCCCGGGCCCCGTTTTTTGCTGTCCACGGGCTATGAAAACGAAATGAGAAATATTTCCCCTTTTGCACCTGAGCACGCAAGAAAGGACGGGAAAGGAGAAAGAGGAAGGAAGGAAAAAGAAGTAAAGAGCGGAAGGGAGAAGAAAGGACAAGGAAGATGGAAGGAAAGAAGAAGAAAGGGAAAGGAGGGTTTGAGGAGGGAGGGAGGGATTGAGGAAGGGAGGGACGGAAGGAAGGAAGGGATGAGGAAGGAAGGAATTGAGGAGAGAGGGAGGGATTGAGGAAGGAGGGACGGGGGAAGGAAGAAGGGATTGAGGAAGGAAGGAAGGAAGGAAGGGATTGAGGAAGGAAGGAATTGAGGAGAGAGGGAGGGATTGAGGAAGGAGGGACGGGGGAAGGAAGTAGGGATTGAGGAAGGAAGGAAGGAAGGAAGGAAGGAAGGAAGGAAGGAAGGAAGGAAGGAAGGTTGGTTATGATGAGGTAGGGAGAGACTTAGGGAAGCCCTGCCTTAGCACTTGGCCACCACAGGTGCCCGAATCCCACCCCCCACCATGGCCATGCCCCCCAGCCATGCCCCCCCTCCGCCCCTCCGAGGTCAAACACAACTCTTGATGCGTCCCTCCTTGAAACTGAGTTCGACCCCCACACACACACACCGCTCTAAAGCCACTGAAGGCGCTTTCCCCGTCCCCACTTTACGTCCCATCACCCCCGTTCTTTGCAAGGGTCACTCACCAATGATGATGATCAAGATAATGGCGCATATCACCCCCAGAATAATCATCATCTGTCACGGGAAAAGAAGAAGGAAAGAAGGCGCGTGTGAATGGTCGTGAAATCGGCCTTGTCTCCAAACAGGGCATCTCCTGGATTCGCCCGTCTGACACCATGGGAGATCCGTCTCCCGTCTAAAGCAAAACCTTTCCAGGTCCCCTGTGATCTGTTGTTCCTTTTGATCCCAAAGGAGCGTCGATTCAACTCCCAGAATTCCCCAGCCAGCGTGGGAAATTCGGCATGGATAGGACAAGAAAAACCGTCACGTTGTTTTTTGACTGGGTAACTTTCTTAATAGACGGTGGGAATGCGGCAGGCGTAATATATCTTGATTTCATCAAAAGGGGAAAGAAAAAAATAACAACCCGCAAGAAGATTGAATTAATAAACGAGTTAAAAGGTGGGCTGGATACCAAGACAGGAAACTGATAGGCTGGCAGGGGAATTCTGGGAGTTGAAGTCCGCCCACCTTCAAGTTGCTCCAATAGAGAACGACTGCTACAGAAGCCAGAAGGCTGGCATTACATACATCCGGAAGACTACAAAGACCTGGTGGCTGGGCCTGCTTTCAAGAGGGATCTTCATCAAGTTCACCCTCCTCCCAAAACGCAGGTGATCTCCAAGAGGCCTGATGGATCACCTTAGCAACCAAGAGATCTTGCCGCCAAGAGATCCGGATCATCTCCGGTTGCAGAGAGATACAGATAATCACAGAGATCAGAGAGGGAGGTTAGCATTCCTGCCCAGAGCCAGCATCTCACTTTTCTTTTGGACCCAACCAGATCCTGGGATCTCTTTCCTCCACCACCCCTCCAAACCTTCTCTATGACATGTTCTCTCTGAATGCCTCAAGAGGTTTTTTTTTACAGAATTTTAAAAGAATCGAGTGGGGATTTATTTATTTTTCGTCTGATCCATCATCATGAGAACCCTGACAGGGAGAACAATTAACCGGTGAGACTGCTTGCCACTAGAAGTTGTGGGTGCTCCATTACTGGAGGTTTTAAAGAAGAGAATGGGCAGCCAATTGTCTGAAATGGTCTGGGACCTCCTGGTTGAGCAGGGGGGGTTGGGCTAGAAGACCTCCAAGGTCCCTTCCAGCTCTCTAATTCTGTTATTCCCTAGAGCAGGGGTTGGCATCCTGCTCCTCTGGAACCGCATGTGGCTCTTTCATCCCTCTGCGGCGGCTCCCTGTCATGAATTGTAAAAGGATGCCGCGCTAGGAAGAGACTCTATGGTGGGAGAACTGGACTTCCAGCGCTAGGAGACTCTATGGTGGGAGAACCAGATTTCCAGCGCTAGGAGACTCAATGGTGGGGGTAACCAGACTTCTAGCGCTAGGAGACTCTATGGTGGGAGAACCAGATTTCCAGCGCTAGGAGACTCAATGGTGGGAGAACTGGACTTCCAGCGCTAGGAGGAGAATCTATGGTGGGAGAACTGGACTTCCAGCGTTAGGAGACTCTTATGGTGGGAGAACCAGAATTCCAGCGCTAGGAGGAGACTCTATGGTGGGAGAACTGGATTTCCAGCGCTAGGAGGAGACTCTATGGTGGGAGAACTGGACTTCCAGCGCTAGGAGGAGACTCTATGGTGGAAAACCAGATTTCCAGCGC